AGAGATATGTCCTTAATCATTTTCTCCTTCCCTTGCCTGGAATGAAAGAAAAGACAAGAAAAGTAGGTACATACAAAGCAAACAGTCACACTGGATTGGATTGCAGCCATAGGAGAAGTGAATTAATTAGGATAACAAATGCCCTTAAGACCAGTCACATAGAAGGGAAGCAGGGAGGGGAGGAAGCTATTATGCAACTTCAGAATTATGAAAAAAATACAGAACCAATCTTTCAAATACTGTGGGCATCATGAGGATAGAATTAAGAATCTTCTGTCCTATATAGACCTACCCCTTCTGATTTTCACAGCTTCTTTTTCATGCTTCTTTATTGATTGGATCAAAAACAAACTGGACTCTTGCACAACTGCTTTTGATATTTTTAAAAATCCAGAGAGCTTTTGAAAGAGACCCACTATATCAGGGGTGTCAAACTCACAACGTCACGTGATTATGTTGCGACGTATCGTGACTTTTTTTCCATTGCTGGCAATGGGGTGGGGGCGGTTTTGGCATGACGCATCTGGCCCATGGGCCGGCAGTTTGACACCCCAGCACTAGATCATCTAGGACTAGGTCTTCTTGGCCCTATATATTCCTGTTCATTATTTGATTCTGATTTCATGGATCAGCTCCTGGCTTCCAGCAATTTTTTTAAAAAATTTATTTATTCAATTCACATGGCTGTCCATCTCAAGCAAATGACTCTGCACAGCTAACCAAGAATAAAAAAATTCTCTGACAGCTGCTTTCAATTCACATCTGAGACTGTCTTCCTGTTGCTGTCTCTAGCTGTTTTAAAAAGTCACACCAATGTTATCAGATCTCACTGGGTTTTTTTTTAGGGAATATAAACAGTAGGAAAGTATTCAAGTTGTCCCATTTTACAGCTTTTCTTGCCACCATTGTTAAGTGAATCACTGCAGTGATTATTAAGTGAATCTGGTTTTCCCATTGACTTTGCTTGTCAGAAGATCCACAAAAGATCTTCACATGATTTGGGGACATTGCAAATATGAACCTGTTGCCAAGCATCCACATTTTGGTCACATAACCGTGACGATGCTGCAATGGTCATAAAAATGGTCATAAGTCACTTTTTTCAGTGATGTTATAACTTTGAATAGTCACTAAATAGTCACAAGGACTACCTATACTTCTCAGTGGAGGCTATTCAGACATTCTGCTGTCAATAATGTTGATGTTTTCACCATATTTTTACTGCCCTTTCAGCAAGATATTATTGCCTAACATATCATAATTAGCTATTTATTGTAAAAGATTGGATGATGACTGTCATAATTATTGTAATATAACTTTTAAAGTTATATTCATTTTCACTTTTGGTATTTTCAACTGCTACAGACAGTTGTCTTGGAGAACTCAAAGTTGAAAAAGGTCAAATGAACTTATTATACAGACATTAGGCATATAGGTATCTTCTTTTCAGCCTTCTTTTAGTCTGTGATTAACTAATTTGTTTCCTTATTCAAGTCCTAAAACCAAAAAAAGTCTTATTAAACTGGGAACAGATAGTCCCCTTAGATCTCGTCCTAATGCTCTACTAAGAAGTAGGAGGAGAAAGGCTATCCAGTTCAGAACATGGGAGGGTCCAATGTACTCAGTGACCTTCATTTACATAACTGGAAGGCAATATATTAACAGACCATCACTAAGCAAAGATTTTCCCCAAAATTAAACATGAAAATTCTTCCTAGTTATCATGGCAGCTGGAATGGAGCCTAGAGGTTATCTAATTCAACCTTACTAATGAGGTCCCCTGTACAACACAGTTTGTACAGAAGTTAATACTTGAACAGAAAACAATACTGAATTTGTTCTAACTTGAACTTTCCAATGGACTACAAGAAGAATACAAGCTGTTCACGCTAAAATATTTTCAGAAGATCAACATGCATTGGAAGAGGTTTATGCAAATAATTATTTCAAATTTCAATGATGTTTGCCTTTCATTCATTCCCATTTAAGTGAGCAATTTATTCTTGCTACCAACCCTATATGTTGGTGAGCTTATCTTGTGACTTAGTGAGTTACAAAAAGTTGTAAAATGGGTCAAAATTCACTTAACAACTGTCTTGCTTAGTGATAGAAATTTTGGGATCAATTGTGGTTGTAAGTTGAGGATTTCCTCTATATATCATTTGTGGATCAATGGTGGATTCTGCGGAATAGCTTATGGAACAACCATACTATAGTATTTCCTGTATGCCATTGCCAGAAATGCCCTCCCTACAGGGTAGGCACAGCTGCTCCTACTAGCTCAGTGGTTCTCAACCTGTGGGTCGGGACCCCATTTGGGGTCGAACGACCATTTCACAGGGGTCGCCAAACAACGCAGTCTGCCATTTTTTCTCCCTTTTCCTTAACTGTGCTACTCCCTTTTATTCTATTGGCTTTTGAAAGCCAATAGAATACACTCTCTTGAATAGAGTCTAATTGTCCAGGCTGTCTCTACCCTGCTGAGCCCGCCAAAAGTCCCATTCTGCAAACGGTGCTGCATCAGTTGAGTAGTCCTCGACTTACGACCGGTTGAGTAATCCTCAACTTACGACCGGTTGGGGGTCGCGGCATTAAAAAGGTTGAGAACCACTGTCCTAGCTGCTTCTTCCCTCAAAGTTAAGAAATTCTCCTTAATCACTCCCTGCTAGCCTCCCACTTCCAAAACAGTATTTCTTTGCCTTGTCAGTTTTCAGATGTTTCTGAGTTGGTGCTGACTACTGGCCACTGCCTGGGCCACTCCCTAAAATGTTCTTGGGCAGATTTCAGAAGTGGTTTGCCATTGCTTCCTTCTTCCTAGGGCTGAGGGAGAGAAACTGGCCCAAGATCACCAAGCTGGCTTTGTATCCAAGGCAGGACTAGAACTCCCGGTCTCCTTGTTTCTAGCGTAGTGCCTTAACCACTACTCCAAACTATCTTTTGATTAAAGAGAGGCATTATCTTAATTAAAATACCAGCTCTGAACTCAAGCTCTAGCTTGTATTATAGTAGCTGTATAACTAGATCTACCTGTTGTGAATTAATGTGGCTTTATCAACTCAGCTTGCCAACACAGTCATAAGTTAGAAACCATTGAATGTATACCTAGTTGTGCTACATTTGCAGAGCCACATTATGTATTTTTCTATCATCTCTAGCTATATGCCAATTAACAGTGCTTCTATTCAGTCAAGTACTGGATGCGGAAATCATAGCAAATGACTGAGTAGTTGGGCAGTTCAGTACCCAAAATGGCTACAATGACTGTAAAGATATAGAATGGGCAGATATATCCTATGCAAAAATGCAAGTAGAGATTACAGTATTTCTATTAAATCTTACCTAGTATTAGCAAACAATCATTTTAGTCATAAAATTCAGCAATAAAGATGCTAAAAAAATAGACCCTGTACTGATTAGAAATTTTTGAAATTCTGTTTCTGACAGTCAAAGTTTTGGGGAAGTAAGTATTATCACTTGCCATGCTTTAGCATATGCTAGATTAAAAATAAATAGAATTAATTATAGATCTTACAGAATTAAGTGATTTAATCAATTAATTAAACAATCTGAAAATAATGATGAGAAAGAAATCCCTCTCAAAAGAATTCTGAAAATAATCTGAATGTAAGTGGGCAATTCTAGAAACCTACTCGTCTAAAGTGAAAAATATTATTTATAGTATAGCAGTCAAGGTGATTAGCTGGACCAAGAAACATGCAAAGAACTAGGTAAATGCTAAAAAAAAATATCAAAGGAAACCTATTATATCTAGCAAAGACCAATCTAGGGACAAAAATGTGGCTGGTTTAGTTAAAAATAAAATTAGACAATATCAGGAATTATATGTCAACTAAAAAGTGGCAGAATTAAAACATGGAGAAAAATTTGATCCAAAAATCTATTTCAGTTCATGAAAGAAACAGCAAGAAAACACACAACACCTACAAACAAAATGATCTATGAAATAAAAGAAGACAAGTGAGAATAGTGGAAGAAATATTTCAAGGAATTTCAGTCCAGCTCCAGCAAGTCTGGATGCTAGTATTATTAACTACAATTCACAAATAGAAAAAAGTAATATACAATGTAGACAAAGGCTCAACAAGACTAGATAAAATCTAAAAAGTTAATAGATGCGTAAAGGCAAATGAGCAAAGGTCAGCAATATGTAGGACTCCTCTGGTATCTTTGGTTCCAAGTCCTTTAGTTTTTATGTAGGAAAATGTAGAAAATTGAAACTTCATCAAAAGGATGGAAAATGACAGTTCAATCATTCAATCACCTAAATAAAGACAACCCTTCTTGTAGCAATCATGGAGATATTTCTCTGCTCAATATGGGATATAAAAATTCTGGAAACAATATTTCTTAAGTAACTCCTGTCTGAAAAGGATAAAAGAATTAAAGAAAAGCAAGTTGGATTTAAAACTGGACATAAATGCACTAATCAAATCTTTGCAATGTTACCTATTGGAATTGTGTTTTGAGTTCCTTCAAGAAAACATACCATTTGTTGATTTCAAAGCAGTATTTGATAGTGTGGACAATGACAGCATTTGGGCAATGTTCCTGGTTCCTACCACATAAAATGCACCAAATCATCCAAGCTCTTTATCAGATTACAAGCTGTCTAAGTAGAGCATATAAAGACTCAATTCACGATTTCTCCATCTTATCTGATGTTTTTCAAGGTGGCATTGTCTTACCACTTTTAATCAATATAGGCCTGGTTTGTATTTTGAGAAAATCGTTGGATTGAGAGGTTACACAACGATTTGGTTTAGTAATTAGGGATTTAACATTTATTGATAGTGTGGCTATCCTAATCATCAGTCAGGAAAATCTACAAGAAATGATTAGTCGTATCACAATTAAAGCTGATAAAATTGGTCTCTGGATAATTCCCATTAAAACCAAGTATCATCTGGCTCCACCTGACTCACCCATAGATGCAATAAAATAGGAAACTAAATAACTGGACAAGTGATTATTTTATATACCTCAGAATTGAAGTGAGAAGAACTGGTGTAGCACAAAAAAAAAATGACATCTTGCTTGAAGTGAGCGTCCAATGTCCTTTTCTCCTTCTGGAAACAAAAAGATATGAATAGTACTGTAGTTTGAATATATCATGCAACAGAATCAACCAGCTTTTCTGTATGGCTGTAAGACCAGGCCAATGAGATTGAAGGATATAAAAAAGTATGTGTTTTTTCATCGTCATTGATATCAATTTTTTAATAATCTGAAAATGAAGATGTTTGTAGAAAATGTAAAATAGTGACCACTTCAGACTTAATAAATATCATGGGGAAGTTGAAAACCAAACAACAATTAGAGGAACAAGGAATAAAGATGGATTGGTTCATGAGAATGCAAATACAATCTAGATATGAAAAAGATGTTAAAATAGATGGTGTTAATTTGGGGACAACAGAGTTAGATGAAATACTCACAGGAACAGAAGAAAAATGGATTAAAAATGTACAGTTATCTATTACATATGGAGTTAGAGAAGGAACAAGTGAAAGAGACAATGATAAAATGGACAAGGAATTTTGGATACATAATTGAATTAGATAGATGGCAGCAACTATGGAAAAGAAACTATAAATTGACAATGGCGACTGCGTATAAAGAAAATATGTACAAAATGTTTTACAGATGGCACATGTCTCCAGAAAGATTAGCTAAGATGTTTAAGGACAGGTCTATGAAATGTTGGAAATGTCATCAGATACCAGGTTCCTTCTACCATATGTGGTGGACATGTGTAGAAGCTAAAACTTATTGGAATATAATTAGAACATGGATAGAAAAGATGATACAACAATGTATAGAACTAAGACCAGAAATATTCCTGTTGGGTATTCTACCAGAGAAATACAATAAAGAGAAAACATATTTAATTATTCACATAATCACGGTAGCCAGGATTGTGTTTGCACAAAATTGGAAAGCACTGAAAGCCCCCCCCCCCAGAGGGAGAGGTGATTGGGAAAATACTGGAATGTGCAGAAATGAATAAACTAACAATGACAATTAAAGATAAGACAGAGTCAGACTACTATGAAATCTGGGGAACTTTTTATGATTGGCTGGAAAGAGAATATGGTTAAAAGATAGTTAACATCAATTTAGATAGAAGAAGAAGGAGCAGATAAGGAGAGAGACCCAGGCGACACAGTATTGAATAACTGAAGGTTGTATAAATATTTATAGAAGTATATACCAAGATTTTTTCTCCATAGGAACCTGGAATGTAAGATCCATGAATCAAGGCAAGCTAGACGTAGTCAAAAAAGAGATGACAAGACTGAACATCGACATCTTAGGAATCAGCGAACTAAAATGGACAGGAATGGGTGAATTTAACTCAGATGACCATCAGGTATACTACTGTGGGCAAGAATCCCTCAGAAGAAATGGAGTAGCCTTCATAGTCAATAAAAGAATAGGAAAAGCAATACTGGGATACAATCCTCAAAATGACAGAATGATCTCTATTCGAATCCAAGGCAAACCATTCAATATCACAGTAGTCCAAATCTATGCCCCAACCACTGCTGCTGAAGAGGATGAAATTGACCGGTTCTATGAAGCCCTACAGCACCTTATAGAATTAACACCAAAAAATGATGTCCTTATCATCATGGGGATTGGAATGCTAAGGTAGGAAGCCAAAAGATAACCGGAATAACAGGCAAGTTTGGCCTTGGAGTACAAAATGAAGCAGGGCACAGGCTGATAGAATTTTGTCAAGAGAATACGATGGTCATAACAAACACTCTTTTCCAACAACCCAAGAGACGGCTCTACACATGGACATCACCAGACGGTCAACATAGAAATCAGATTGACTATGTGCTCTGCAGCCAAAGATGGAGAAGCTCTATACAGTCAGTAAAAACAAGACCAGGAGCTGACTGTGGCTCAGATCATGAGCTTCTCGTTGCAAAATTTAGGCTTAAATTGAAAAAAGTAGGGAAAAGCACTAGGCCACTCAGGTATGAACTAAATCATATTCCTGATGAATATACAGTAGAGGTGACAAATAGAATTAAGGAACTGGATCTGATAGACAGAATGCCTGAAGAACTATGGATGGAAGTTCGCAACATTGTACAAGAGGTAGCAACTAAAACCATCCCAAAGAAAAAGAAATGCAAGAAAGCAAAATGGCTGTCTGAGGAAGCTTTGCAAATAGCTGAGGAAAGAAGGGAAGCGAAAGGCAAAGGAGAAAGAGAAAGATACACCCAATTGAATGCAGAATTCCAGAGAGTAGCTAGAAGAGATAAGAATACCTTCTTAAATGAACAGTGCAAAGAAATAGAAGAAAACAACAGAATAGGGAGGACCAGAGATCTCTTCAAGAAAATTGGAGATATGAAGGGAACGTTTCATGCAAAGATGGGCATGATAAAGGACCAAAATGGCAGAGACCTAACAGAGGCAGAAGAGATTAAGAAGAGATGGCAAAACTACACAGAAGAACTATACAAGAATGAGCTTAACATCCCAGATAACCACAATGAGATGGTCACTGACCTCGAACCAGACATCCTAGAATGTGAAGTGAAATGGGCCTTAGAAAATCTGAGCAACAACAAAGCTAGTGGAGGTGACAGTATTCCAGCTGAGCTATTCAAAATCTTAAAAGACGATGCAGTAAAAGTGCTACACTCAATTTGCCAGCAAATTTGGAAAACTCAACAGTGGCCACAGGATTGGAAAAGGTCAGTTTACATTCCAATTCCAAAGAAAGGCAATGCCAAAGAATGTTCAAACTATCGCACCATTGCACTCATTTCACATGCTAGTAAAGTTATGCTTAAAATCCTACAAGCTAGACTCCAGCAGTATGTGGATCGAGAACTACCAGAAGTACAGGCAGGATTTTGAAGAGGCAGAGGAACTAGAGATCAAATTGCCAACATACGCTGGATCATGGAGAAAGCTAGGGAGTTCCAGAAAAACATCTACTTCTGCTTCATTGACTATGCAAAAGCCTTTGACTGTGTGGATCACAACAAATTGTGGCAAGTTCTTAAAGAGATGGGAGTACCAGACCATCTCATTTGTCTCTTGAGAAACCTATATGCGGGTCAAGAATCAACAGTGAGAACCGAACACGGAACCACTGATTGGTTCAAAATTGGAAAAGGAGTCCGGCAAGGCTGTATACTGTCGCCCTGCCTATTTAACTTATATGCAGAGCACATCAGGAGAAAGGCAGGGCTAGATGAATCAAAAGTTGGAATTAAGATTGCCAGGAGAAATATCAACAACCTAAGATATGCAGATGATACCACTCTAATGGCAGAAAGTGAAGAGGACCTAAAGAGCCTCTTGATGCGGGTGAAGAAGGAGAGTGCAAAAGTTGGCTTGAAACTCAACATTAAGAAAACCAAAATCTGGACAAAACTGGCAATTAAAATCACGGGAAGAATTAGTACAAGAAAATTTTACTTATTCTTGGTTCCAATATAGGCAACTACTAGATAGATGGAAGATGGATTGCAAGGTGGGTTTTCTTAGAGAAGATTAAAATCTTATTAAGCAACTGAAGGATCAAAGACAAACCCACATTAAGAGAATTTATGGGGTTTTAGTTGAATTGGACTCAGAAACGGAACTAATTAAAGATTGTATGATTAGATGGGCGCAGAACTTTGGTGAGCCAGTTTCATTGGTCACTTGGGAAACTATTTGGGTGAGAAATGTCAAATTTACTCAAGCACAGAATTTAAGGGAGAATTTTTATAAAATGTTTTATAGATGGCACCTTGATCCACAAAAAATGTCTTATATGTACCCTGACGTGCAACCTAAATGCTGGAGATGTGGTTACAAGGAGGCTTCTTATTATCATAGTTGGTGGTCATGCAGAGAGATAAAAGCATTTTGGATCAAAATATGGTGGAATATCCAGAGAATTTTTAGAAGGAGGGTAAAATTCACTCCGCAATTATTTTAGTTAGGTATTGTTACAGATTGTGATACAAAGGAGGTTGTATTGATGTTAAACTTGATCACAGCCGCGAGGCTGTTAATTGGACAATATTGGAAGAAGGAATCTTTGCCTACATTGCAGGAATGGTTTTTTAAAGTAGCTTATCTGGCAGAAATGGCAAAGATTTCGGCTTTCTTAAAGCAACAAACGCAAGAGAAGTTTTTTGCTATCTGGGACAAATGGATAAAATTTATACAATTTAGATTGGGTATACAAAAATATTATATAGCTTTTTCATAAGTTTTATTTTTATATATATTATAGATATCTTTTTTATATATATAAATATAGAGTTTTTAATTTAATTTTTATTTTTTTTTTTTTTTTTTATTATTTCTTAAGCCTATATTCTGCTCTGGGAAGCTCAGGGGGGGGGGAGGGAGGGTTTTTGGGAGGGGTGTGGGGTGGGGGTTTTTTTTTTTTTTTTTTATATATGTTTGTTTTACTTTTTGTTTTTTTGGATATGTTGTTTTTTGTTCTGTATTGTTCTTGTTTTTTTTTGTAAAAATTTATAAAACTTTTAATAAAAAAAAAAAAAAAAAAAAAAAAAAAAAGAAAACCAAAATCATGGCATCCGGCCCTCTCAATTCCTGGCAAATAAATGGGGAAGAAATGGAGGTAGTGACAGATTTTATTTTTCTGGGCTCCAAGATCACCTCAGATGGGGACTGCAGCCAAGAAATTAAAAGACGCTTGCTCCTGGGGAGGAAAGCTATGGCAAATCTAGACAGCATACTAAAAAGCAGAGACATCACCCTGCCAACAAAAGCGCGTATAGTCCAGGCCATGGTTTTCCCAGTTGCAATGTATGGCTGTGAAAGTGGACCATAAGAAAGGCTGAGCGCAAAAGAATTGAGGCCTTTGAACTATGGTGCTGGAGAAGACTCCTGCGAGTCCCTTGGACTGCAAGGCGTTCAAACCGGTCAGTCCTAGAAGAGATCAACCCCGACTGCTCTTTAGAAGGCCAGATCCTGAAGTTGAAACTCAAGTACTTTGGCCACCTAATGAGAAGGAAGGACTCACTGGAGAAGAGCCTAATGCTGGGAAAGATTGAGGGCAATAGAAGAAGGGGAC